GAGTAATGTGGGTAAAAGAGATAAAGAAGGAGGAGATCAGTGGCAGAGAAGCCCCAACACAAGATCACTAACTCTGGCCATGGGGAAGTCACTTGGGTGTGCTAGGGAGGAAGTCAGAATTCAGGAAGCCAAAGAGGAAGTTGGTAGAGAGGGAAGCCATGAAAGAGAATTCCCTTTAGCATTAAAAGCACATCCCAGCTAGGATTGTGGCTCAGTGGTAGAGCACTAACCTAGCACATGTGAGTCACTGGGTTCAATCCGCAGTACTACATAAAAATAAAGGTATTGTGTCCATCTAAAACTAAAAAAAAAAAAAGCGCACCTCCACAAAATGCTAGAAAAAGTGCCTTCTAAAGGTTTGTATCTTTTTTCCTTATCGAGAGCCACCTGTGCTGTGAACACCAGGGCCATCACTTTTATTGATGCTTCCTAGGTTCCTTGCCCCCAAGAGGCCAGCCTTCATCCTGAGTGAACCCTTCTTTGCTCTGCCAGCTTCCCGTGTTGACTTAGTATGGTGTCCTGGGTTCTATTCTCAGGTCTGCTGTGCAATGATCCACACAGTGTGTCCTTAAGCAAGTCACCCCCCTGGGCTTCTATAGTCCCCTGTGGCTGGCAGCATGTCTGGGAGTATGCAGTTGACTGGCGATGATCTGACTTGCTCTCTGCTGCTTTGCAACAATAAATCACTTCACCAAACATCAGCTGTCTTGCCTTCTGCCCTCTGCTTTGTGTCCTAAGGCTGACTCTCACCCTCCTATTGTTGGGCCTTCTAGTGTCCTCCATAGGATTCAGTTCACAAATACATCTTTAGGCAGCACGCCCTTGATTGCAGCACAGAAATGCGCTTCAGACATTTAAAGGGAGTGTTGAGTGAGTAGGCCAAACCTAGGGCACTTTCTCCACCTCTGCCCAGGCAGCCAAGGAAATGAACTTTGAAGGGATGATTTAAAGTGCTCTGACTGGGCTGGTGTTGTGGCTCAGGGGTAGAGCGCTTGCCTACGATGCGTGAGGCACTGGGTTCTGTCCTCAGCACCACATAAAAATAAAATAAAGATATTGTGTCCATCTGTAACTAAAAAATAAATATTATTTAAAAAAGCTGTCAAATGTTATTTAAAAAAAAAAAAGAGCTCTGGCAGCCAGTGATACCGTGGTCCTTGAAATTTAATTTGAGGAGGCGAGCGCGGGCGGAGGCGGCGGCGAGACACAGCCGAGCTCCAGCGAGCGAGCGCGGAGGGAAGGAGGAGGCCGCGCGCGCCGGAGGCGGAGGCAGCGAGCAGCAGCAAGACGAGCACGGCGCCGCCGCCGCGCAATCCGCCGCCATCCCGCCGCCCCGCGCCAGCCGCCCTCGCCGCCCCGACGCGCCCGCGGAAGCAGACCAGGCAGATCGGGAGCGGCGCCGAGAAAAATATCTTTACTAGATGACATTTCATCGCAATGTCCGATCGTCTGGGGCAAATAACCAAGGGCAAGGATGGGAAAAGCAAGCACTGGACTCTCAGCCTGTTTGACAAGTATAAAGGAAGACCAGTAGACGCCACCAGGTCCTCAGTTATTCCTAGACACGGCTTACAGAGTCTCGGGAAAGTGGCCACAGCCCGGCGCATGCCGCCGCCTGCAAACCTGCCAAGCCTGAAGTCTGAAAACAAAGGAAACGACCCCAGCATTGTGATAGTGCCCAAGGACGGCACGGGATGGGCAAACAAGCAGGAGCAGCCCGACCCAAAGAGTTCCAGTGCGACGGCCTCTCAGCCGCCGGAGTCGCTGCCGCAGCCGGGTTTGCAGAAGTCTGTCTCCAATTTGCAGAAGCCGACACAGCCGAGCAGTCAGGAGAATACAAATTCAGTGCCAGGTGGACCAAAGTCATGGGCACAGCTGAATGGAAAGCCAGCAGGACACGAAGGTGGTTTAAGGGGCTCAAGCCGACTGTTATCCTTCTCTCCCAAGGAATTTCCGACGCTGAAAGCAGCTGGAGGGCCGGACAAGGCTGGCAAAGAAAAGGGCGTCTTAGATCTGTCGTATGGGCCAGGACCAAGCCTCCGCCCTCAGAATGTGACAAGCTGGAGGGAGGGCGGTGGTCGAAGCACAGCTTCTGCGGCGTCTCTGAGCACCTCCCCAGCTGAGCCGGGCAGCAGGAACGCCAGTGCTGGGGATGGAGCCCCCTCCTCGGCATGTACCAGCGATTCTAAAGACCCCTCTCTCCGCCTGGCTCCTCCTGTCCGCAAAGGGACATCGCAGTTCCTGGGAAACGTGTACCACCCTCCCACGTACCATGACATGCTCCCTGCTTTTATGTGTTCGCCACAGTCATCAGAGAATCAGGGTCCAGTGGACCGAGGCTCCTTCCCTCTTCCTCAGCTTCGCCTGGAACCCCGTGCTCCTTTTAGACAGTTCCAGATCAATGGCCAAGATGGGAAAGAGAGCAGGCTGGGGCTGACCCGCCCCATCCGCCCACTGAGGCAGCTGGTGGAGCGGGCACCACGGCCCACCATCATCAATGCCGAAAACCTGAAGGGCCTGGATGACCTGGACACCGATGCTGACGACGGCTGGGCAGGCCTCCACGAAGAAGTAGACTATTCAGAGAAATTGAAGTTCAGCGATGATGAAGAGGAGGAAGAGGTTGGGAAGGATGGCCGGCCAAAGTGGAACAGCTGGGACCCGAGAACGCAGCGACAGTTGAGCTCTGCAGACAGTGCTGATGCCAAGTGCACTCAAGAGGAAGGGAAGGACTGGGGCGAAGCTGTGGGTATGTCCCGTGTTGCCCGAAAGGTGCCGGAGCCTCAGCCACCTTCCAGAAAGCTTCATGGCTGGGCATCAGGCCCAGACTACCAGAAATCCTCAGTGGGCAGTGTGTTCCGGCAACAGTCTATCGAGGACAAGGAGGATAAGCCACCCCTGAGGCAGAAGTTCATTCAGTCAGAGATGTCCGAGGCCGTGGAGCGGGCACGAAAGCGCAGGGAAGAGGAGGAGCGCCGAGCCCGGGAGGAGAGGCTGGCAGCCTGCGCTGCCAAGCTCAAACAGCTAGACCAGAAGTGCAAGCAGGCCCAGAAGGCCAGCGAGGCCCAGAAGGCCAGCGAGGCCCAGAAGCAGGTGGAGAAGGAGGTACCTCGGTCCCCAGGCACCGAGAAGGCCCCCCCACAAGAAAATGGCCCTGCTGTCTGCAAAGGTAAGAGGCAGGTCCTCCCGCCAGCTGGAACCTTGGACTGGGCAGTGGTTTGCTGTTCCCATTCTCCGACTTCTTAGCAGCCTGTAGCTAGGGCTGGATTACATTGAAAGCGCCAGAATAGAGGCCAGGGTCACGTGCCTGGGTCTGGTCCTGTTTTGGGTTCTTAATCTAGCTGGTGAAATGCCTTGCCTCTCTAAAGCGTGGCACCTGCTTGCATGCTGAGGGGCATGTGAGATGCTGCACATGTGCAGGGCGGGGGATGGTGCTGGGTGGGAGTGTCTGGAAGGCCTGAGTAGTCTTGCTGATAGTCTCCCTCTTGTCATTCTTGTGGCTGTTACCATTACTGTGCAGTTACACGAGGCACAGATGATAAAGGACATTCACAAAGCACAGGGTCCTTTTATGCAGAGGGGAGGAGCCCACCTCTTGTTAGAATGCATTCTCCCTGTGCCAGAGCTTGCACAGTGCTGCATGACCCGACAGACGTAGCAGTAGGGGGCGCTCTCCAGGAAAGCCAGCTGTGTCTCTGTCATCTCCTTCAGTCCCCTCATGTCACCTCTTGTTAGGAGACAGGGGCCCATATTAGACACAGGCCCTGAAATGTTTGATCTGGTAGCCATGTGCCCTGGCCAAGAAGCTCAGAGAAATCAAGTTTTCTTCTGTCTTGTCTTTTTTTTTTTTTTCTGGTACCAGGGATTGAATCCAGGGGGCACTTTACCACTGAGCCACATACCCAGCCCTTTTGAAAATTTTTTATTTCGAGACTTGAGGCTGGCTTTGAACTTTCAATCCTCCTACTTCAGCCTCCCGAGTTGCTAGGATTACAGGCGTGTGCCACCGCGCCCAGCTCTGCTCTCCTTTCACAGTCTCAGTACTCGGGGAGGGGCAGTAGAGAGACTGCGGGGAGCATTTCTCCTGGGCAGGCACTGTTCACTGTCTCATTCGGTCCTCACATGAGTCCTGTGGAGTGGGCGTGACTGCTATCCTTCCTTACAAAGGAGGGAACACAAAAGGAGAAACTAAACCTGTGCCCAGGTCACACCACCTGTGGACATGGGGGATTCGTCCTGTTTGGGGAACGGCCACTCTCGGGCTACCAGAGTCCTCTATCAGACCTCCGCTCATAGCTGACTCTGATCACATGCACGTCCGCTGACCTCCTGGTCCTTGTCCCCATCTCTAACGTAGTTGTGGGTACAGCTCGCTCACAGTGTCCTGTGGGTAATCCAGGAGCTGGTGCCCAAGGAGTATGTAGTGTGGGCTGGGCCCAGCACTGAGTCCTGCACAGAATGTTCCTGCCCACAAGAGAAGCACTTGCTGTTCAGCCATTGGTCACCTGAGTGCTGTGAGCTCATTGTGGCTTCTCTTTGCTTGCTCATTCTCTAGGCTCCCCAGAATTCCCTGCCCAGGAAGCCCCCTCCACTTTCTCAGAGGAGGCACGCACAGCTTCCCCAGCTGTGGGTCAGAGCAGCAGCAGTGAGGAGGAGGCCAGGGAGTCTGCGTCCCCTGCACAGGAATTCAGCAAGTATCAGAAGTCCCTTCCTCCACGGTTCCAGCGCCAGCAGCAGCAGCAGCAGCAGCAGCAGGTGAGCACCGAGCGATGGCCCCTCCCGTGTCCTCATGCATCCTGCTGTTGCCCTCATGCATCCCGCTACCACACAGTCGTGCAGGGGTCACATTCCAAACTTGTGACTCTGTAGACCACCCCACCATTATTCTTCCCAGTGCTAGGTGCCCCCCGAATGAATACCACCTTGTTGTGGTTTTCTAGGACATGAGGTAGTGGGGTACACGTTGAGTTCCACTGGCTTAGGTTGAAGAGCAGCGACCTCTCACACGCTGGGGACCCATGGGGTCCTCCAGGACAGAGGCTGTGGGCTGTACCAGGAGCTGTCAAGTGGGATGGGGTTCCTGAGTGTCGGGTTCCTGTGCCAGTGGCGGTTCCTGACTAGTCACATGTAGCTGTGGCCCGTGGTGTCCTGGTTGGCTAGGCTTGTTAAGCCCCTGCTTCTCCACGTGTGATCCAGGAAGGGCAAAGACTGCTTCACTGTGGCAGCAGGAGCCTCGTGTGGTGTGACAGTGATGCCTGTGAACTGACAAACACCAGCACCATCGCAGTCAGCCTTTTGTAAACCTTAAAGGGGACCTGCTTTGGGCCCTGGAGAAACTCACATGGCTAGTTCTGCCCTGGTGCTCTCGCAGGCTGGTAGTCCCTCTGCTTAGCATGCTGTTAAGTGAGGCAGCCTCGCAGCCTTGCTGGGAACCGAGCCTGGGGTGGAAACTGAGCTGACATGGAGGAGTCGCTTGGTGGGAGCCCAGCGCTTGGGTGTGTAATACATTATTATTAATTAACATCAACCGAAGATTCTTCACAATGTGTGTGCTCTGGCAAAACAGACCACAGCCTCAGCCTTTCCCCAGCATTTCCTTTGATTTCTTATAAAACCGTCAACCCAGCTTCTCTGCTGCAGGCGTTCAGGAAGCGTCTCTGGGCCCCACTGACCTGTGAGTAGTCCATGGGCTTGGAGTAGGAACATCCTTGGGAGAGATCCCTGGAGTTACTTGTGCCAAAACACTGCCGTCACAGTGACTGTAGGCAATTCTTCACGGGGAGTAGGGAGGACGGTGGTGGGGAAACCCTTCCTGAGGGTAGAAGGACACCTGCAAGCACCAGGGCAGCCTGGCTGGTTGGCCCCCTGGGGAGCTGTGTGAGACAGGAGGAGCTGTGGGTGCAGGCAGTGTGGCTGGAGTCGGAGCTCCAGTCTCCTGACTGCTGAGCTCTGTTTCTTAAGTGTTCCTCAGAGGTGCAGGGAGTGCCAGTGGACAGCCAGCTGGACAGGTGGCCTTTGGTTTGCAGAGTCTAGGATATGTGCTGGAAGCCTGTGGGGCAGGCCATCCTTGGGATCTGCCATGAGTCCTGCTGGGCTGCTGGCTCAGGGTTCACTGGGGAAGTCAGCACCCTCCGTCACTGCTGCTGTTCATTCCTCTTCCCAGGCCAACCAGGCCTTCTGGGCTCGTGACTTAGGGAGCTCAGCGACACACCTGCAAACCCCAAGCACTGCAGGAAGTACGGTTCTTTGGGACCAGAGGATGGGCCTGGGCTCAAGGGTCTTTTGGTGGCCTCCCAAGGAGACCCAGAGTTAGGGACAGACAGGCCTAGAATGTTCCATGGCCCGGCATGTGCAGGCAGAGCTGTGTGGAGCAGAGAGCTGGGGCCAGTCATGGAGTTGAAGCCAGGGAGGCAGATTAGGCATGGTCCCACAGGACACTGTGGGTCACCTGTACCCTGGTAGGTCAGTGGTTGTAGGGCACGGGGGACCGCTGAAGGTGCTTTTGAAGCTCAGAGCCAACGGCTGGGTGCGAAAGATGACCCTTGCTGAGTAGAGGATGGGTGAAGAGGATGGGACTGGGACGGGAATGATGGCCGTCCTTGGGTCGTGGCTATAGACCAGGGTCCTGTGGGAAGTGTGCTGGTCTGTTGGTCAGTTTCAGTGGGACGTTTGATCTACATGGAAGCCTCATGTGTCAAGGGCAGCACCAGTGTACCTGGCCCCTGTTGTGGTAGGCACGACTGCCCACCCAGCCCTAGGAGACTCCAGCCTGATGGTTGTGCTGTTGGGGCTCCCCTCCAGGCAGCTGCCTGTCTCCTCCCTCCTGGAGGGCTTTCTGTGCCACATGCCAGAACGCTGGAGACTATGGTCGCTTACCCCTGTCTGATCAGGTCTCTCTTCTGCGTCAGGAGCAGCTGTACAAGATGCAACACTGGCAGCCGGTGTATCCCCCGCCTTCCCACCCACAGCGAACCTTTTACCCGCACCACCCCCAGATGCTGGGCTTCGACCCCAGGTGGATGATGATGCCTTCCTACATGGACCCTCGGATCACACCCACCCGGACCCCTGTGGACTTCTACCCCTCAGCCCTGCACCCTTCAGGTGAGCACGGGGCTGGACAGTGGGTGGTTAGGGTGGCATCTCAAGAGCGAGGCCCTTGGTGTTCGTTCTGGCCTCCAGGACTGGTCTGTGTCTTGCAGAGCGCAGGTAAGGTTGTGTTCCTGTCCTGGACAGTTACCGGAAGAAAGCAAGACCCCGCATTTTAAATGGCTCAAAGTGATTTTGAGGTCTTGCTGCCTCACACAGTCCCTTTCGATTCTCACTGTCTTTGCATATTGTCTCTTTTTCTTCCTTCATTGGTCTTTCCCAGGGTTTGTCTAAGGCCTTTTTAAAATCAGAATTGGGGTTTCTTATTTTTCCTTTATCTTATTTGGGTTTTAGTTAATCATTTTCTTCTTTCTACCGCTTTATTTCTCTTGAAATTATTCTGTTTATCTTGTAAGTGATTGTGTTGGACACTTGGTTCAATAATTTCTGACTTTCAAGATGATGTTGCGGCGTCGTGGCCAGGTATGATGGTCTGATGTGGGCCAGGGGCCAGCAGACTTCTCGCCTGTGGCCAGGCATCGCATGTCATGGGCTTTGGTCAGCTCTTCAGTTCTGCTGTCGTAGGAAGAAGCAGCCATGGGCAAATCGTGAATGAGTGCATTTGATTGTTTTCCAGTAAAACATCATTTAAACAGATAAGAAACCAGACTGTGTTCAGAGGCTTGCCCTTGTTGCCCACTCTCGGTTGGCTGACATTTGTTGAGGTTTTCTTTGTAGGCTGTTACAAAGTCAGTTTTTAATTTTTTCCTGTTTGTTTTCTTCTTTATTCTTTTTGCCTGAAAAGAATCTGTGTTCTGTTGGATGAGTCCGTTCAGTTGAGCTTGCCAGTTGTGTTGTACAAGTGCTTCTTGCGTTACATTTTTTTATCTCCTTAATTAGTTACTGAAAGGTGTGTAGAATCACCCTGCACCAGGGGCTGGGGGCTTAGTACATTGGTAGAGCCTGTGAGTGTGTATCAGGCCCTGGGTCCAATCAGTAGCACAAAAAAAGAGAAAAGAGAAAACAACAGCAAAGCTCCCAATATGGCCGTGGACTTGTCGGACTCTCCAGCAGTGTCCGTCTTTGGAGGCACAGAGTGTGGAATGACATCTATTCCTGTTGTCACCTACCACCTGCTCCGGTGGTGTTTTTCTGCCTTTACCATCTGCTTTGTCCAATAGTAGCACGATGATATCAGTTTCCTTTTGATTAGAACTTAGAGTCTCTTTTGTTCAGTTTTTTGCTGCCATTTCTCTGAGTCCTTATTTCTAGGGAGTGCATAACTTTTTGTATACAAGACCTATATGGTCTTACTCTGAAAATTCTATGGCTTTTAACTACCAAAGTTGCTCCCTTTACATTTATTCAAATTTTATATTTAGATTTTCCCATTAATCTGTCTTATGCATTCCGCTTATCCCACTTTCCGTGTGTGTGTGTGTGTGTGTGTGTGTGTGTGTGTGTGTTTCCCTTCTACGTTCTGTTTCTTATGTTAGTGACATTAAAATCCTTACATGAGGACTGGGTACACCTGGTGGTAGAGTGATTGCCTAATATGTGTGAGACACTGGGTTCCAGCCCCAGCACTGCCCCCCCCCCCCCAAAGAAAATCCTATCGTGCCCTCTTGACCTACAGAAGGGTCTACTCGGTGTCTCCACCTTCATCTGAACCTGCTGACCTCTGTCTCTATTCTTGTGCCCACACCGGCAGTTACTGTTTTGTCATCTTCTCTGTGCTATTGAGCTGGGCCTGTGTGTTCCCTTGTCTCGATGGCCTTTCTTCACCTGGGGTGGGCCTGTGTCATCTCTGACAGTCTTCTGCCATTCGGGTTGCTGGCCTGAACAGAGAGCTGCAGGCGGGTGCTCTTCCTCTGGGTGCTGTGCAGATCTTCCTGTTTTCTTCTGGCTCCTCTTGCTGCTGAAAACTTGATCCATTCTTAGGTCTTCTGTGCTGTATTGTCTCTGGCTGTTTTCGAGGTCTTGTCTTGTCTTGGGTGTCCTTGGTTCTGTCACTATGTGCTGTGTTCAGGTGGACCTCTCTGATTACTCTGCTTGGGAGTCCTTGTGCTTGAATCTAAGGTGTACCTCTTTCCCCACTTCTGGAAGATTCTCTTCTGATAATTGCTTCAAGTTATTGACTCTCCTTGTTCCTTTTTCTTCTTTGTATTTAGGTCTTTACTTTCTGGTACTGGGGTAGCCCGTAGCACTTAGGTCCTGACCTTGATGTGATCTGCCAGGGCTCTACCACTGGGCGACATTCAGACCCTCCTTGTTCCTTTTATCTTTTCTTTCTAGGTCCTGCTCTAGGTTTATTATGTACCTTCCATGCTGTCTTTTAAGTGTCTTAAATCAGAGAAAGTGAAAATGAGCAGGCGTTACCCCTTTGTTGCCTTCCAGGAAGCCCCTGGCTGTTCCCAGGACACTTCTCTCCCCAGCTGAGTCTGTCTACTTTTATTACTGTCCAGTGAGGTGTTTTTTTTTTTTTTTTTTAATATTTTCTAGTTGTGAATGTACCTGTATTTTATTCATATGTGGTACTGAGAATCGAACCCAGTGCCTCACGCATGCTAGGCAAACACTCTACCACTGAGTTACAGCCCCAGCTCTGTTCAGTGAGTTTTAATTTCAGTGACTGTGTGTTTTTATGATTAGAATTTATTTCATAAGCCTTGTATTCTTTTTTTTTTTTTTTTTTAAGTTTTTTAAAAAATTTCCTTTTATGTTCTTAATTATTTCAAATGTGATTTCCTAGTGATTACCAGACGGTTGTGCTGTCTGAAGTCTTGAGGACTCACTGTGAGCTCGTGGTGAATACTCAGCACACGTGTTCTGGTGGTTTTGGATCTAGATTGGTTTCAGGAAGCAGCGTGGAATCGGGTTGAGGGCATGTCCCTCCATAGTCTCTTTAGCTGGAACCACCCTTGATGGCAGGTTTCTGGACTATTCTGGGAGTTAGAAATTTGGACCCCTTCTGCCTAGATCCCCATGGAAGCAGCCATGTGGTTTCTGAATTCCAAGAGAGTGCTTTTCCCTGCCCAGATCCAGGCACTCAGCCCTGTTGAAAATCACACATTCTCCAGTGCACCTGACAGGCATGGGCAGAGGCTGGGAGAGGCATAATTCGTCCAGGTGCACTTTGGAGGGTCTCTGTTTTGAGCAGGTTCCATCTGCACTCCTTGTCCTATGAGGGTGCTGAAGACCAAGCCTGAGGGTTTCCAGGCTGAGCTGCCCTTCTTTCTGCTCTTCAGGGTGTTCCAGCTCCTGCACTCGTAGCTCTGGTTTTCAGCTTCTGGAAGTTAGTATTTTCTTGTGAACACAGCTCTACAAGCAGAACATTTGATCTATTCTGCCCAGCCCTTTTGTGACAGTAGGGGTTTTCGGGTCTTCGTGTAGCCACAGACAGGGCGATGTGTGCCTCATGAGGAATGCGTGATGCAAGGCACGAGGCTGTGGGTTTCCAGGGAATCCCGCCCATCTTGAATCGGACTAGCGGTGCTGGAGTCCCCCTGTCAGCAGCACTTGAGCAGTGTCCAATGGCTAGTGCAGAGCTTCTGACTGCTGGCCTGATGCTGAACCACCTTCTCACCAGATGAGCTGCAGTCAGGAGACAGGCGCGACAGTGTCATAGGGCTTTGAGTATTTCAGAGTCAGATCTGTTTCCTTGCAGATGTAGGCCCAGACCTGGGCAGCACCTGTGCCAGCCCCACTGCCCCACCTGACAGGCATGGGCAGAGGCTGGGAGAGGCACGATTCGTCCAGGTGCCCAGCCAGTTACAGCTGGTGGGACCTATATGCTGGTCCAATCTGGCAGTTAGCAGTTTTTTTGTTTTGTTTTTAACATTTTTTATAGTAAATGGACACAATACCTTTATTTTATTTATATATGGGGCTAAGGGTCGAACCCAGTGCTTCACATGTGCTAGGCAAGCGCTTTATCAACTGAACTCCAATCCCAGCCCAAGTTAGCAGTTTTTTGTTATTTTTCAACTGCCACCCTCCTCCCTCACCGCATTCCCAAAATCTCCCCATACACCATATGTAGTGTTGCCATCCTTTTTGGAATTAGGGATAAAAGGAAATAAACTCAGCCTAAATCTTCCTGCAAGGATTCGGAAGTAGACAGTGCTGGCTGCCATTCTCACATGCTCTCTGGGATGTGGCTCGTCTGCCTAGGTCTGAACTAGAGAGCTTCCAAGCATCTCTGCTGCACAGCACTCCTCAGCTTGCTGACCCCATGGCCTCTGGTTAGCACTGAGGGATTCCACTTGTCATTTCCAGTTTGCATGTCCCAGTTTTATTACCCTTTGATACAGGCACTTGGTCTGAGAACTCAGCTTGTCTCTGCAGGTCTTTGAACAGGTCAGGTAGCCTCAGGGTCCCTGGTCAGAAAAGAGTGAAGGCCACTGTTCTGGAGTGGGGTGCTGTGTCCAGGGGCAGGCCGAGAGACTTACTGTTCCACGTGGCTGGCTGGTTGCCATGGGGCTTTCTAAATGACATGATTCAGAATTGTCCTTTGTCTTGGCCAGGACTGATGAAGCCCATGATGCCCCAAGAGTCCCTCAGTGGGACTGGATGTCGTTCTGAAGATCAGAGCTGTGTGCCCCCACTCCAAGAAAGAAAAGTGACAGCCATCGATCCAGCTCCCGTCTGGAGCCCAGAGGGCTACCTGGCGCTGCAGAGCAAGGGCTACTCATTGCCCCACCCAAAGTCAAGCGACACTTTGCCTGTGGATGTGCATGTCAGGTGAGATGACACTTGCTCCCGCTGCCTGGATGCTACAGGACAGCTCTCTGGTCCTAAGGGAAAGGCCCTGTCCCAGGAGATGCTGCCTTGGGAGGCGGGAAGGGGTATGGATTGTGCTTGGATACTGTGTGAACGGCTTTTACTGATGGGGGCTGAAGGCTCAGCAGGAGCCCCAGACTGCCAGTCTTGGATGTGGAGTCGGGGAGGGCCTCACAGACAGGCAGGTCGAGGGAAGGGGTGTGGGCTTGCCCCTTGGTGAGTAAACAGGGCTAGCCCTGCTGCCCAGGGCCCGACTCCAGCTGACTCCCAGGCTCCAGCTTGCTCCAGGGGACCGCCAGCTTCTCTCTGTCTCCGGGTGGCAAGCTGAGCCTGCCCAGTGGCCACTGCCTTCTCTGCGCTCACGGACTTCAGGGGCCATGGAGGGCCCCATGGCCCAGCTGCTCTAAGACGTGTTTAAAGATAGAGCAAGTGTTTGCTGTGTTTTTCTTTCTTTTTTAAGGCATTTTTTTTTTCTTTCTGAAACTGAGCTTTGTGTTCAGCATGGAAGCCAGGAACCCAGCTCCAATCACATTGACTGATTTCTCTGGTTCCTTTTCAGGAATGAAAGCTCTTACTCTGCCTCCCCTGGAAGGTCAGGGGGCGTAAGTGCCCAGCGCCATCTCTTTGAGGAGAGAGGGGAGGAGTACTTGAGTGCTTTTGACAAGAAGGCCCAAGCAGACTTTGACAGCTGTATCTCTTCTCAAAGAATAGGCCAGGAGCTTTTATTTCCACCCCAAGAAAATGTTCAGGAGGCGGGCGCTCCTGGGGGCCACGCCCAAAACCTCAGGCGTCCCCCGCTGGAGCCTGACTTTGTCCCAGTTGAGAAAAAGCCAGAGTTTTGCAGCTGGGACATTGGCCACCAGCCAAAGGCCCCTGACACAGCCAAGGGTGTTGAGCAGGAGGCGCCCCGGGAGGAGCCGTCCTTCCATGCTGCCTCCTGGGAGAAGGAAGGGAGTCCTGACAAACAGCCAGACCCAGAGCCTGAATGGACACCTGAGCCCCGGAGTTCCAGTGGCCAGCACCAGGAGCAGCCAGGCAGGACCCGGAGGTCAGGGCCCATCAAAAAACCGGTCCTCAAAGCCCTGAAAGTGGAGGAGAAGGAGAAGGAGCTAGAGAAGGTTAAGCGGGGGCTCGGAGAAGAGAGTGCACGGCTGGCCACAGAGAAGCCTGAGCAGGATGAGGACGAAGAGAACGACCCTGCCCTGGCCAACGCCTCCCCCTCCACTTTGGAGGACAAGGCCTCCACCCGGGCTGGGTCCAACCACGAGGCCAGCAAATGGGATGCGGATGAGGATGAGAAGGCTGACAAGGCCTGGGAGCCCAGACCATCCCGAGAGAACAGCGACATTCCCCCCACCAAGAGAAACAACTGGATCTTCATCGATGAGGAGCAGGCCTTTGGGGGCCGGGGGCAGGCCCGCAGCCGGGGCCGAGGTTTCAGAGAATTCACTTTCCGAGGTCGGCCAGCCGGGGGAAATGGAAGCAGCCTGTGTGGCGGGGGCGTCCTGGGGGCCCGCGGCATCTACAGCAGCAGCCAGCGGAGTGGCCGCGGTCGGGGCCTGCGGGAGTTCCCCCAGCCAGAGGACAGCCCCAGAGCCAAGCCGCGGCGGCGCATCGCCAGCGAGACCCATAGCGAGGGCTCCGAGTATGAGGAGCTGCCCAAGCGGCGCCGGCAGAGGGGCTCGGAGAGCGGGACGGAGGGCTCGCTCCTGGGGCGGGAGGAGGGCGCCCTGCAGACGGACTCCTGGCGCTCTAGCAAGGTGTACCCGGAGGACCAGAGCGGCCCGGAGGCCAAGGGTCGGGGCCCTCGGGCCTGTGGCCGTGCTCTCCCGCCCAGGCTGAGCAACGGCGGCTATGGGCGCAGGGCCTTCGCCCCCAAGGAGCCCGTCCCCTGGCAGAGCAGGAGCCCGGGCGGCTCCTGGCAGGAGTACGGTCCTGCCGACACGGGTGGGACCCGGCGTGCCACGGACAGAGACTACGTCCCTGACTCCTACCGACATGCGGACTCGTTTGGCAGCAGGGCCTTTGAGGACAGCCGCTTGGAGGACAAGAGGTCCTTCTTCCAAGACGACCATGTTACAGATTCTGAGAATGCAGAGAACCGGCAGTTCCGGAGGAGGCGCCCCCCACGCCAAGACAAGCCCCCGCGCTTCCGGCGGCTGCGGCAGGAGCGGGAGTCCTTGGTCCTGTGGGGACCAGAAGAGGAGGCCCCCCTGCTGGCGGGCCAGTGGCCAGGCCGGCCCAAACTCTGCCCTGGGGACAAGGTTGGCGCAGGGGGCCGCAGGTCCCCAGACCCATCCTGCCACAACTCTTCTGACCATGCCAACGAGGAGTGGGAAACGGCCTCTGAGAGCAGCGACTTCAGCGAGCGCAGGGAGAGGCGCGGGGGCCCAGGGGAGCCCGACCCACAGGGGGACGGTGGCCTGTCTGGGGCCGGTCTGGGTGAGAAGAAGGAACTGGCCAAGAGGAGCTTCTCCAGCCAGAGGCCCCTGGCTGACAGACAGAGCCGCAAGCTGGAGCCGGGAGGGTTTGGGGAGAAGCCCGTTAGGCCAGGTGGTGGTGAGACGTCCCCCCGCTATGACAGCCAGCAGAGCGGGACACCCTTGAAAGCCAAAAGGTAACCGAGAGCACCACCCCAGGCCCCTGTTGTTGTCCCCCCCGCAGCAGCCCCGAGTCCATGCATGCATGCCCGCCGGGCCACGCGCTGCCGGCCGCTGTGTGTCAGCGTCTCATCCTGCTCCTGCATCGCTTGTCTGCTTCTCACGATGTGTCCTTGTTGTTGTGGCCTGACAGTCTGAGCCTGAAGTGTGCCCTGCCCCACCCCGTGCCTTGTGACTGCAGCCTTGTCCCTGCCAGGGTTCAGCCTCTGAATGGTCCTTGGAGCCCTGCAGTAAGGGAATTGCCTATATGTGGCACCTGGGAGCACTGGCCAGTCCACCTGATCCCTCTGCTCCTCAGACAGCTGGGCAGCATCCTGGAAGGCCTCACTAGCCTTCTGGCTGCACGGAGGACGGCTCTTCTTCCCCCAGCAGCTCTGCTTCTCTACCACTTCCTTGGTGTGGTCAGAAGTTGCCAGAGCAGCTGGGAGGAGCCACCTGCAGCCCAAGGAACATCTCTCCTTTGGCACCAGAGGTTTCTTAGGTGGACAGTCTGTGCTTGGTGCCACTCGAGGCCCACAGGCTCCTGCGTGGGGAAGGGTGGCTTTGCTGACTCTGCCTACTCCATGTCTCAGAGGGGACGTGCAGGGGTGCTAAGGCACCTCAGCACACTGACGCTGCCTGTCCTCCTTAGAAGTTCAGGGCACAGAAACTCGGGGGTGTTTTACCCCTAAAGGTCAGGCGTTAGTCTGACCTTGCTCTCTGGGGCCCAGAAGTCCCAACTTGGCTCTGCCCTGAGCCTCATAGCAGGGCAAGGCCAGGGCTGCTGGCTGCTGGCTCAGAACAGAAAGGCCGGCAGCCCTGTCTGAAGCGTGCCCCACCTTCCCTCTCTCCCTCTGCGCGTGCTGAACGCAGCAGGCCGTGGGAGAGAAGAGAGCACGGAGGGGGGTGGTGAGGGCAGCTCTTCCCTGCCCAGGGCTCTGCCCAAGCAGTGTGGGCTGGGCTCTTCTTGGAGTAGGTGTCGGTCCACAAGGCTACTGTTGATGTGGCCTAGAAAAAGGAACTCACCTGGGCCAGGCTGCTGTGTGCGTGCAGGCTGCATGCACTTGTGGGTTTTTTTCTTTCTTTTTTGCTAGCCTTTTGGCGTCTCTGACTTCACAGATCTTTTTTGCTTTATAGGTCCCCGGATGAGGCCCTGCCTGGAGGCCTTGGCTGCAGCAGTGGGAATGGCCACTCGCCTTACACCCTAGAGCGGGCCACACACACCAACGCTGATAGTCCAGAAGCCACCAGTAAGAAGGCAGAGAAGGAGTCCGTGCTGGCCGTTCAGAGGGCTAGTGAGCAGGAGGAGGCCCGGAAGCAGTTTGACCTGAGCTATGGAAGTGAGTCTAGGCACCTCTCATCCTTCCAGAAGATCCCAGGTGGATCCAGGGCCTCTGTAGTCTTTGGGTGGGAACACATAATTCTTCTAAGGGGAGAATTAGCCCTTCCAAGTGACCGTCAACTTCCGAGAACTGCCTTGAACAGGCACCGGGCTGAGTTCTTGGCTGTGGTGGTGAGCAGTACAGCTGCTTGCCACCCGCGCTGCACACTGCCTCGCTGGGGAGCCCGATGCCCAGTGGTTCAGGGAGATTCCAAGTCCACCAGCTGGTAGGAGCGAAGCTGGCTGGCTGTAAGAGCCTCATCCCCAAAGATTGTGTCCTTCTCACCATGGTGCTGCTCAAGCTGTCCTGGGTGAGACTGCAGGGGTTAGGGTGGGAGGTGCGGCCATGGCCAGGTCTCTATAGCTGTGGTGGATGCTGGAGCTCCTTGGTAGCGTCCAGCCAGATGCTGCCCAACTTTCTGGGCCAAGCCTGTCCTCAGAGATCAGGTGCAGTAGAGTTGGGTGATTCATGGAAACCACAACTTCTCTTGGTTCAGGTGCCATCATTGAAAACTGTGCGTCTGGCCCTGGGGAGGAGAGTGAGATGGGCTCCATGGTGGGCGAAGGCTTCATTGAAGTGCTGACCAAGAAGCAGCGCCGGCTCCTGGAGGAGGAGAGGAGAAAGAAAGAGCAGGCTGCGCAGGTGAGCAGGCGCAGGCTGGGCATGGGGCTGGGGAACCCAGGGAAGAGGGGAGAATTAGCTGCTAGGCTTGCGTTGCTCCCAGTGCCTGCCATGCAGCCCACGGGAGCAGGTGAGGGCCGTCACCATTTCACAGAGGGGAATCTGGGTCACAAAGAGGCTGACTCCTCAAGGCTCAAAGCTTACGTGGGGTCATACCTATTGGCCGCCAGGACTCCTCCCTCCACAGGGTCCCCGCCTGGGTGGGTGAGAGTCCTCTTCCCTCAAGCCATGAGATCAGGAGCCCTGTGCCACACGGGAGGTTTGCAGTCCGCCACTCCTGGGGGTTTGGCTGACCTGCCAGTATGCTCAGTGGCCAGCATCTTGAGCAATTTCAGTGGTTTGGTTAGCACTGGGATCCTTTTCCTAGGAGAGCTTGTCATTCTTAGGACCTTCTAGGGTAGACTACATCACTCCCTTTTCCCCTTAGGTGCCTGTGAAAGGTCGAGGCCTTTCCTCTCGTATCCCCCCTCGATTTGCTAAAAAACAGAACAACTTGTGCCTGGAACAGGGCGATGTGGCCGTGCCTGGCAGCAGCCTGGGCACTGAGATCTGGGAGACCAGCAGCCAAGGTGAGAGCATGGAGCCTGCCTCTTCCTCCTGTGCCTTGCTTTTGAGCTGTGAGTGTAGGTGGGGCCTCACTCGCGCTGGGCTCCCTCCTGGGCTCCTCTGCTGAGCCAGTGTTGATGGCCAGCCTAGCACTGCTTGCTTCGGCAGCTCCCAGTTGGGCAAAATTTCACTTGCCTGTGGTGTGGGGAAGAGCAGCGTGTTCCACATTCCCAGCAGCCCGGAGCAGGACATCCCACGAGCTGACCCTCAGGAATGTGGGTTGGGCTTATTTGTCAGGTCTAATCATCCTTCATTCTTCCCTGTGGAGAGGAGCGAGTGAGTCCTCCCCAACAGAATGAAAACCCAGAGAGCACCTCCCAGCGCTCTCATGGAAAGGCAGACTTGAGACCACAGAATGTGTTTCCCTAAAAATGTTTGTATTCCAGTAATTTCCCCCCCCCCCCTTTTTTTTTTTGTATATGGAATTGCACCCAAGGGTGCCATATCACTGAGCTACACTCCCAGCCCTTAATTTTGAGATGGGCTTTTGCTAAGCTGTGATCCTCCTGCCTCAGCCTCACTGGGCACTGGCATTGCAGGCATCCAGCTTATTTTTATGCAAAGGCTTGCAGAGAGAAGCAACTGGACCACAGCCCCCCGACACACACTCAGGATACTAGGTTCTACACTTTGATTCTCTCATTGTCACTACACAATCTGTCCTTAAGTTCCAGGTAAAATCTTGGTGCCAACACATTGAAGAATAACATTAGTTGATGTTCAGGTCTGATTGAAAGCAAGAACTATCTTTTACTAAGCATTGATAGTGTCAAGTTTAGTACCGTGGATGAATGATAGTTATTACAATATCCATGTAATACCCACCGACCAGATTGCCTGGGCAGCCTTCCCTAGGCAAGAGAGCTGCCGCCTCCCATGAGGTCTCTTCTCCAGGGTTCCATAACATCTCATCAGTTGGTTGGACCAGGGGTCCATGGGCGGTTCAGAGGACCCTGGACCTTAGAATAGATTGTCATGTTCTTGTTTATCAGTGTCCGTGGCACTTGATGGGTCCGCAGAAGGGCCTGTGAGCCAGTTATCTGTCTGGAGTGTTTAAAGATTTTATAGACACTACCAAATTTAGAAACATGCCAATGTAGAAGTAGTGCTGGAGAATTCAAACAGGTGTGATTTTGAAAAAACACAGTCAGTGAAACCCCAAGAAGCACATTTGCTAGCCTCAGACGGTACTGGGAGACTGGCATGCAGCTGCTTCTGTGTGTCAGACCAGGCACTGGGTGGGTCTGTCATACTGGGCGCTGGGGTGTAGGTGGGTGTGTCCTACCAGGTGCTGGGGTGGAGTGGATGTGTCACAGTGCTGGGGTACAGGTGGGTGTGTCCTACCAGGCACTATGGTTGGATGGGTATGACACACTGGTCAGCTGGGGTGGGGTGGGTGCCAAAGGCAGTTCCGGGAACTGGATTTCTGTGAACTCTGATTTCGGAGCCACATACCCATGTCTTCCAGACTGTTTGTCCCTCTCTGATACCCTGACTTTGTGTCCCCCTCCTTGTGGCAGCCCTCCCTGTGCAGGCCGCAGCCAGTGACTCCTGGAGGAAAGCCATCTCTGCCTTCAGCAGCACTGAGCCCAGCTCCACCGAGGTGCGTGTGCCCTGTGCCTGACCCAAGCTCCGCCCTGTCCATGAACTGCGTGAAGTCTCTAGCTTGCTCTTCGGCCTCGGTCTCTGGTCTGTGTGTGGTGCCTGCATGAACATAGAAGAAGGGGTAACCAGCCCATGCCCCCGGGTAGGGATCCAGAGCAAGGGCCTCCTGAGCTGGTCTTGGTGGTCGCCAGTCTGGTTGGACTGAAATGACCTTGGCAGTATCGCCGAGGACCATGCATCATGTGGTGGTCATGAGCTTGGCAGGGCTGGCGCCTTCATGTGGCTGCATGTGTTTCATGGAGCACTGGAGCAGGTCAGGGCCAAGATCAGGACTGGACTTGAGAGGGCAGGTGGCTGGGGAGGTGTGTCAGTGCCACATGCAAGCTTCCCTTCTGGACACTTGTGTTTTGGAGTTTGGGGACAGATTCTAATCCTTGTGTGCTCCATACAGCAGGGTTTTAAGAGCAGCCAGGGAGACAGCGGTGTTGACTTGAGTGCAGAGTCTCGGGAGTCGTCTGCCACCTCCTCGCAACGCAGCTCCCCATATGGTACTCTGAAGCCAGAGGACATGAGCAGTCCTGGCCTGGCAGAATCCAAGGCTGACAGCCACGAGGAGCAGGCTCAGAAGCAATCTGAGCAAAAGGACTCAGAACAAGGCTCAGGACAGAGCAAGGAGCACAGACCAGGACCCATCGGCAATGAACGTTCTCTGAAAAACAGAAAGGGCTCAGAGGGGACTGAGCGGCTGCAAGGGACAGTCGTCCCACCTGTTAATGGGGTAGAGATTCACGTGGACTCCGTGCTGCCTGTGCCACCCATTGAATTTGGAGTCAGTCCAAAAGTGAGACTTGATTTGACTTTTTTTTCTTGGTATTTGGAAAGTGGGGGCTTAGGGCTGTTCCCTAGAAAGCAGGACGATGGAAGCGGAACAGCACTGCACTGGGAAGAATGCTGGTATGCAGTCAGGGAGCTGAGGCAGGGGCTCTTGACTTGCCACATAGATGGCTTTACTGACACCAACCAGGCCTCCCAGGTCAGCAGTGGACAGGGAGAGGAGTCAGGGTGGCTCCCTTTCTCCAGTGTGTTCATGTATGGTTCATGTATGGTTCTGGTGAATGCTGCTTAGTGGGTGTTTTGAGTCACCAAAACTGGATTGCATTCATGTGTGCCTCTGGAGTAGGGCAAGCCAGAACGAGTTAAGTAGCCATGTGCCATTTTTTTTTTCTAGGACTCTGATTTCAGCTTGCCACCTGGTTCTGCCTCTAGTCCTGCAGGGAATGCAGTGGTCAAACTTCAGGATGCCTTGGCTAGCAATGTAAGTCTCTGCTTCTCTTCCAGCCCCAGTGTTGAGCCACTGTGTAGGCCACAGGCACATGATCACTTGGGCTGGAGTCCACTCTCTTTACAGTGCCTCTGTATTGTGACTTTCCAGTAGGAGCAATGTCATTCCTAAGTTCCAGGTTATCTGGCTTTCTTTAGATTCCCATCTTCCTGTGTGCCAGATGTGTCCAAGACTGGTGCAGACCATCTTTTAGTAGCCATGGGGGAATGGAGGTAAAGCAGGAGTGTCCTCCTGGAGGCCCATCCTCCCCACCTGAGGGTCCCTGAGTCTGTGTGTTTGATGCAGTAGACCTTCTGCCTCTCCAGCCTGCACTTGGGAGCAGGGAGTTGTGGCTCTGTAGACTGTTCCACACTGGCCGTGTGCTGACCTCTCTGTCCACTTGTCCCTCCCTGCAGGGTGGGAGGGTACTCAAACATCTGCTGAACAACTGGGGATTGCTGGGGCAGCATCCCCAGGTTTCATGGGAGATCAGTGCCGCAGAACGTTGACAGACATTGAACAAAAAAAATTCTGTGGTTACATGGGTTTGAACTGCTAAGCTAACCGGATTTTAATACTTTGAGCTTTCCCAAATTGCTATGATATGGGACACTGGGCTCTACCGGAGGCTTTAGCCTATATTAACAGGGACATGCTTCTCCATTTCCTGAAGGGCTCTGTGACAGGCACAGCCTTTCCCTGTCCTGACTTAGGCATCTCCCGTCCAGGTGGCACGTATACTTGCCTACTGGTAGCCAGTCCATTTTTTCTCTTGCTGGGATACAGCTATCTTATGTCAAGGGCTCCGTGGAACATGGGTGTGGAGGGGACTCTCTACAGATTGTTTTTGAGGAAATGACGTCTCAGGGAGATAGGCCGGGGTCTCAGGCACATGTGGCCAAACCTGAAGACTACTGGCTACCTCGCTTCCTCAGCTCCTTGTTCCATGGTCTCCTTTCTTCCCATCTCCAGGCAGGGTTGACACAGAGCATTCCCATCCTCCGGCGAGATCATCATATCCAGAGGGCCATTGGCCTCTCCCCAATGTCCTTCCCCACTGCTGATCTCACACTAAAGGTAACACCATCCCTGCACTGGGAGGAGGGAGGAGCCCCTTGCACCCTGTGGCTTAGATTGCCATTGTCCCCTGCTGTCCCTGGTAGTAATTTGCGCCCCTTCCCTCCCCTTGCTTTCAAAGATGGAGTCTGCACGGAAGGCTTGGGAAAACTCCCCCAGTTTGCCAGAGCAGAGCTCTCCAGGGGGTGCTAGCTCGGGCATCCAGCCTCCGTCCTCGGTGGGCGCCTCCAGCGGGGTCAACTACAGCTCCTTTGGTGGAGTATCCATGCCACCCATGCCTGTGGCCTCTGTAGCCCCTTCTGCTTCGATGCCAGGTATTATGTCCCCTGAGCCAGGCTCAGAAGCCTTCTCCATTCATGATTAAGCAAAGCGCTGGATGAATAGCCCCGAGCACATCCCTGTCCAGTGCCTGCTGTGCCACCTCTGCCAGGGAGCAGCAGAGCAGCGCACCTCCCTGGGCCACAGCTTGTCCCTCTGTAGAGTGGGCTGGTGATGACGCTCCAGAGAGTAGCCATGCCCATGAAGCAAGGGTGTTTCTGGAAGGTGCTTGGTACCAGCTGAGCCCTCCATTGGTGGTAGCTGTTTTTATCTTTACTATCGCCATCCTTGTCACTGTGTTGTGGCCCCAAGGGAGAACAGTGGGGATTTTGAGGAACCAGCTGCCAAAGTCTCAGTGATGTAATTCCAATAGATCCTTCTGACCCTCCACTGTGGACTCGATAGCAGGAGGATGAAGAGGACAGTGACTGAGAGACCAGGGCAGCTGTATTCAACAGCCCTCCCAAGGGTCTGCAGCAGTTGGTGGGTGATGGTTGTAAAAGGTGGGCCACAGCCCACTGCCCTGCTCAGGTCCTGCTGCTGAGCCCCCAGGTGTGTGCTGCAGCACAGAAGGGAGCAGCCTCCACCTGCTCACACCCTCACTCCCAGAGTCTGCTGGGAAGCGGGACATGTGCAGTATCTCCCTAAAGGATACTCAGCAACAGGAGACTTGATCATTCTCTCCTCCCCTGGATTCTGTTTCCAGGCAACCACCTCCCGCCTCTGTACTTGGACGGTCATGTGTTTGCAAGTCAGCCCCGGCTGGTTCCTCAAACCATACCTCAGCAGCAGAGTTACCAGCAGGTGAGGATGGCAGGACAGGCGGCTGGACAGGGAGGTGCAGCACCGGCACAGCCACTGCTGCATTCACTTCCTCATTGTCCCGTTTCCTGTGTCCCCTGTGTGATGCCTAGCACCTGGCACGTCATGACACCTAGAGAATTTGTTGGATGAGGAGGACCAAGTAAATGCTCCAGCCTTGCTTGACGTTCCTTCCCGCAGTCTTCCTCCCTTAGTCCTAGCTGGGAATTAGCTAAGGGCAGGGCCTAGGTCCCCAGCCATGGAGATATTGGAGGAGGTAGTTTTGGAACAGGCAGATATTTGGTTTTGTGCAGGATTGATATATTTTCTGTGCTGTAAGGGAGTGATTTTGGAGTCTCCCTCTGAAAGCTGGTGCTGGGCCTTCAGATAGCCCCAGCCCATGTGCCTGCATCCCCTCTCCCACTTCCACATGGCTGTGGATGTTCCCAGTGCAGATTCAGGGTCAGGACAGAGGATGTGGCTAGTCTTCAACTCTTCCTTGAAACGTATCCCTAGTTCTCTAGTGAAGTGTGGGTTGGTCTTTCCATAACTGGATCACACTGCATGTGTCCTTCTCTTGCCCGGCCTTGTTTCTGCAGCTGTCCTCCATGAGTACACATAGCTAGGGTTTCTTTCTGTTGCTGTTACAAACTGCCAGTGCAGAGGTAGACCATGGCTTGCCTTCACTACCAGGTTTTTGCTTTTGGTTTTTCCCTAGGAGCAGGGGAGGCAGGCAGGGTGTTTAGGGCAGGTGCATTTAGGGCAGAGTGGAGGGGCCAGGGTGTGAGCAGGGGTGCCACTTTGGAGGGCATTGGTGGTTACTACCTGGCTCCTGTTCACAGGCTGCCGCTGCCCAGCAAATCCCCATCTCTCTGCACACGTCTCTGCAGGCTCAGGCTCAGCTTGGACTGCGGGGCGGGCTTCCCGTCTCCCAGTCTCAGGAGATCTTCAGTTCTTTGCAGCCCTTCAGGTGAGCTCACATGTAGACTACTCCTAGCCTGGGCTTCAGACTGTCCCATTCCTTTGCTCTGTGACTATAGGTGTCCTCTGCTTTGGGCTTGGGAGGCAGAGGGGATGCTCTTGGTCCCTTTGCAGGCCAGCGCTGTGCTCTAGGGGGCTGTGGGCCTCGTGTTCCCTTTCCTTCTCATCCTGCCTCCTGCTTCCTCACTAAGCCTGTTACCTTGTGTTTTGGGTGTTATTAGGTGTTTCTGGCCTGGCACAGCCTTGACGTGTCTGTCTGTGTAACCCAGTGATGCTCACAGTGGCCCCTAGACCATTAGCATCAGGCCCACCTGGACCTGAATTGCTGGAGGAGCAGGATCTGTGCTTCAGTGGGTGCTGGGGATGCTGAGGCTTGCCTATGTTGGTGACCCCCTGGTGTGCTCATCCACTGATCCTGGCATCTTCTGGCTTTTGCAGGTCTCAGGTGTACATGCACCCCAGCCTGTCACCACCCAGCACCATGATCCTCTCTGGGGGCACGGCCTTGAAGGCTCCATACTCAGCATTCCCAGGCATGCAGCCTTTAGAGATGGTGAAGCCCCAGTCCGGCTCACCCTACCAGCCCCTGAATGGAAACCAGGCCCTGGTCTACGAGGGCCAGCTTGGCCAGGCTGCTGGACTGGGCGCCTCCCAGATGTTGGACTCCCAGCTGCCACAGGTCAGTTCACTCGCTCCCTGGCATCTTCTGGCTTTTGCAGACTTTCCCAGGCACTAGGCCTCCTTCTTTTACGACCTTCCCCTACCCTCCTAACTGCCTCTGTGTGTGCTGACTTGTGACAGTCCTCAGCGGCTAGAACGTGGCCTCTTCTGAGCGGTCCCATTGCCATTTTATTCTGAGACCCAGCTATCCTGAGAGCACTGCTTCCTCTCCCCATCCCCGTGCTCTGACGTGGAAGTTGGGATGCAGCCTCTTTGCCCCTACCTGCTCCTTGAAGCCCCACCCTAGAATGTGCCCTACTCAACCTCCACGCACGCGAGCTTCCCATTACCAAATCCCATGCGGGAGTGGAGGTCTTCTCCCCTGACCTCTGGGCAGTGCCCGGCACCTTGGAGGGCCGCTCCCTTCCTGTGGCCTTGGCTTTGCAGTCTATCCTGTCCACTGCGGCATCTGCTTGTCCATACTCGCATCCAGACTTGGGCATTACCGTAGCTGTGTGTCTTCCCTGACCTCAAGTGCAAGGCTCCGGTGCAGCTATCACTGCTGACCTTTCTGCCTCTGTCCTTCCAGTGATCCAGCTGCAAGTCCTTCACCTCCCTCCCTCCTCTTCACTTCCTCCCTCCTGGCAGGCCCTCGGAGCCACTCGGCACTCTGCACTCGAGCTGTCTCCCGGGGGCCACCACGCTGCTAGCAGCCATTTCAGATTCACTATTTTTTCCTTGTTGCTTCCTACCCACTGTGGCCTTGCTTTCTGTGTCACCAAGGAAACAGGACAATGACAGCCCATGGCCACATCTCCCTGCCTATATGCCACTGGAACGTAAGAGAGGCCTCACTCTCCCACTCAGGGCCACTCTTACAAGTCCCCTGAACCTTGTGCATTCTGGAGCTCTGTCACTGAGCTCCATCCCCAGTCCCTGGTCATCCCATCACGGCATTTTACCCAGTGGTCACACTGTCCCTCAAATCACATTCTGCAGTCAGGCCTCAGGGTGCCTGGTTTTCCTTCTGCCTCCTCAAACCCTTTCTTGCCTCTCCTTTGCTCACACCACCCAAGTCTGTAACACTGGGCATGCCCATGGGCCCTGTCTCTGGGCCACTTTCTGGTCCCATGGCTCTAAGTCCATGTGCTGGTCACTTTATCATTCATTTCTTTGCCCCAGAGTCACCCACGGACTGGAATTTCATATGCAGTGCCTGGCCAGCACCTCTGCTTTCATGTCTCTGCCATGTCCCACTTACTGTGGCCAGACAGGAACTTCCTCCCGGTCCTGCTGCTGGTCCACTTTCCACCATACTTGTTCCTACCACCCCTGCTGACCGCTGTGATCCAGCAGGTCCTGATGGCTCTGTCTTTAGGAAGAATTCAGTTTCCACCTGTTCATTAACCCCACCCATAGGCTCTGCGGGAGCTCTTCTTGCACTGCCAGCTTCTGCCCTCTAGGTCTTCCGGCCAGGTGTTCATGCAGCAGCAGGACAGTCCTTCAAGTACACAGTCAGATCGCACGACACCAAGGCAGTGTCCTGAAGCTGTCCAATTGTCCTCGCCTGTTGTGCTCCAAGCGGGAGCTTGGCACTTTGAGGCTATGGCGCCACAAGCCTCAGTGATGTAATTCCAATAGATCCTTCTGACCCTCCACTGTGGACTCAACAGCAGGGAGATGAAGAGAACAGTGACTGAGAGGCAAAATGTGGGCCACCCCGTCCTCCTGCCCTGGGAGTTTCCAGGCCACCCCTCTAGGTCTTGTTTTCTACCAGCATTGATGCAAGACAGGTGCCACACAGAGAAAGCTGCACTTCTTGGGCAGCCCTCACCTCCGGGGCATGCTTGGCCTTGCTCCCTAAGCAGCCTTCCCGATGTCCCCACTCATCTTCTTCCCACCCCTCTCTGGTACATGTGCACACACACAGCTGGTACATGCACATAGGTCCTGCTGCCTCCGCTGTGTGCTCAGCCGCTGGCAGCCATGTCCAATGAACCTCTACACTGTCCTGTCCTGCCCCTGCCATGTTTGAGGGTGCCCTGTGGCTCCCCCACACCTTATATTGAGTGAGAACTGAAGGTACGCATAGCCCTTTGCTCAGGAACAGAGGAGACACACAAGCATCATTGATAAGTACAGTCTGCACACGTGCTTACCCTCTGTTCCTTTTTGTGACCTGTTGCCCAACAGCTGACCATGCCACTGCCTCGGTATGGCTCCGGGCAGCAACCACTCATCCTGCCACAGTCCATCCAGCTGCCACCAGGGCAGAGCCTCTCTGTCGGGGCCCCCCGAAGGATTCCTCCACCTGGGTCCCAGCCACCAGTCTTGAACACCAGCAGAGAGGTAAAGGTGTACCCCCTCCACCTGTGATCCCAGGGAAAGGGATTTGGTTAGCCCTTCCCAGTTAGCTGAGGGCCACTGAGGTGGGAAGTGCTAGAGGATTGGGGTGCAGGCTCTGGGTCTCTGGGTCTCCCTAGACAAGTTTTCCTGTGCCTTGAAGTGTTTGAATTCTAAACATCAGGAACTCCTTCGTTTATGTGTAAGCCACTAATAAAAAGAAGGAACATTCACGCGACCAATGAATGCCCCAGTTGAATGCCTGAGGACCCTCCAGTGGAGCCACAGCAGATACAAGTCCTGGAGATTCTGACTGAGTGTGTCTAGGGTCAAGGGTTAGGAGTCTCTGTTCCTCACTGCCCGTCCTGCTCTGGCTCTGCTGGGATGATACCTGAGTGATGCTCCTGGCATGGATGGCTGGTTTCCTCAGGTTGTGCACAAGTAGCTCTCCTGAGCCTCTTTTAAAAGACGTTGAAATGTCCCTCCTCCTGAGAAGAAGCCCTCTTTGGGCCTGGATTAGAATGGAGGGGCTGCAGATTCCCTACAGGGCACTGCTGGAAATCTCATGACCCTCGCTAGCTCCGCCCAGGGGGTTCACCAAGGGCCAGGCTGTCTCTGTGGTCATCAAATGACAGCTTGTTGCTTCTTGGCCTCTCTAGTCCTCTCAGATGGAGCTGAAAGGCTTCCACTTTGCCGACAGTAAACAGAATGTTCCCACAGGAGGCTCCGTATCGTCACCACAGACCTACAGGTAAAGACATGCCCTGGGGGTTGGGGACTGAGTAGCTGAGGAAGCTGTAGACCTGACTCAGTGGCTCTAAAGAGGCTGTGAGCCCAGGGAGAGCAGTGTAAGAGCACTGAGGCCTGGTCCTCCAAGTCCCCAGGACGTACTTGTTAACCATGGGGAATGGGGAGACTGCATTTTAGTCATCAGAATGAGGATCTGGACTGGGTGTTTTCTGGAAGGCTAGGAAAGGAACAGCCCTTCCCAGGGCCTCTCCCAACTGCATTCGCCCTCTTCCCCTGCCACATGACACTTGATTGTGGGGTCGCGCGGCCCTCCCCTGCAGTCTACAAACTGGTGCCTGCTTTTCGCCTCCTCGGCATCTGTCTCTGCCTCCATTGATTGTCCCAGTCCCCTCAATTTGGAGGCTGCTCTGTCGGATCATGGCTAAGCACCTCTCGCCCATGTGGGGTTGGGAAGGCAGCTCTGGCCTTGGGCCACACAGACGTGTATGGCCAACTCTTGTTCCATGAGGGGTTTCCTGGAGCTCCCTTGTATTCGCAGAGTGGGACAGACACACATGACCTGCAGCATTCTGCTCTAGCACCAGGAGGTCACCCCACCAACATGTGCTCTGCGGGGCGGGTCCCACGGCTTGGACCTTCTCTTGCGGTCATTCTGGCCGGTGCTCCGGTGTGTCAGGCTGGGCTTCCTCCGTCTCATCGATCCACACTTCCAACCTCATTTCCAAAGAGATTTCATGATTTTTTTCCTCATTCATCTTCGTTTCTGTTCCTCCCGCTGTCTTGGCTTCGTGTTTGTGTGTCGGTATGTCTTGTTTTCCTACCATCACCTGTCACGTAGGCCAACACAGAACAGAAGCATGACCTGGAGGGGAGGAAGGAAGCCTCAAGTGGGCACACAGGCTGTAGGCCCCCCACTGCCACATGCACGCAAGCAGCATCTGGCTGCAGAGCAGTCCCCAAGGAGCACAGAGCAGGGCAGAAGCTGGAGTGACAGGCAACCTGTGCACACGGTTATGGGAAGGGCAGCATCTTGCGCGGGAGGGTTGGTTCAGTGGGCGCTCTGTGTCCACAGACAGGGCAGTGGTTGGAGTACTTTTAAGTAATCTACAGGTGACAAAGTATACAGGAGGGAGCTGGGTTGTGGCTCACTGTATAATGCCCTGGGTTCAGTCACCAGCACCAAAAAAAGTCTGTGGGCAGATGTGCATGTGTTATATGTACACACACTGCTGCATGTGAGGGACTTGCCATCTGCAATTTTGGTATTTGCAGGGGTCACTGAGGGTCGGGGAGTTATTATAATTTTATAGAGCCATGGTCCCCAAAGTCTTCTGGAAATGGCACTGCTGAGACATGCCCTTCAGAAGAGGGACTGTGGTCAGCACCTGGCTGTCTGGACCAGAGGTGGAGTCCAGGGCACAGAGCCTCAGCAGCCCCACCTCATCCTGTTGACCTGTGCTGTGCACCTGTTAAGCCCTTTGACCACAGAACCTCATTAACATCCCTGGCACTGGTGGTCAGTGGAATACTGTACATTACTGTGCCTCTCATCCCCAACAAAATGAGGACTAGAAAAAACTCAGCACAATTCTGGTTGGATTAGGTTTATAGACCTTTTTTTGTCTGGGACACTGCATCATGTTGGCCCAGACCCTCCAAACTCTACAAGATGGTCAGTGTCCATCTGTCTGTAGCAGCAGCTTGGGCCCCACCTCTCCTCTCCTGGGTACATCTCCTGAAGTGCCAGGGTGGACAGTGACAACCACCCCTTCCCCTTTCTGCATTCTTGGCTGTCTCCAGTCTGGTTTCCATCTGAGAGGGCTCCAGCTGCCCGAGTGCGTGCTCTGGCCAGAGGGCCCTTCCTTGCTCGTTCCTCTCCCTGGGCTAGGCTTGGACTCATTTCTGTGGTGACACGTGTGTATTCTCACCCCTGCCTTTGGTTTTTTCAGGCCTAGCTCTGCTAGCCCCAGTGGGAAGCCCTCTGGATCAGCAGTTAACATGGGCTCTGTGCAGGGACACTACGTTCAACAGGTAGAAGATGGCTTTCCAGACCCTGCAGCTGGACACTTAGGCCTGTCTCCCAGCGCCAGAGGAGAGGGGACTGTTCAACCCATGAGTGCTCCTTTTATGAGGAGAACATGCCCTCACGGTTAGAGCTGGGCAGCCTAGCTGGCGAAGGCATTTCTCCTCCTGAGGGCATCTGGATCCTTCCTTTCCTGCAGAGAAGGGAGGATTCCTGGTTCCTCAGAGGAGGAGACACCTGATGGTGGACTTCCCTAGCACTCGGGGCTATGACGGCGCTGGGGAGAGCCGGCCAGGTCTGCGGGTTAGCGCTAGAAGCCGGGTGTGCGCATGCTAGCTCTAGCAGTGGCGTCTCGCTGGTCTTGCTGGGTGGGCTCGCAGACAGGTCGCACTCTATTCTAATGAGGCTCTTTCAGCGTCTTCCTACAGGCCCTCTTCTTTCCCTCCTCTGAAGTGTCTCGGGCTCCAGAGCTCGGGACCTCGGTCCTGGGTTTTAGTAAGTCAGCATTTCTGGCTGGTGGGAGTCGGAGGACAAAGCTGTCATTTTCCACCTCCTTCAGGCTCCCCTGGGGGTCACTGCTTGAATCCTGTGGACCGAGCTTCTAAAGCCTTCTCCCAGAGTTCAGACCACTGGGTGATTGCTGCGGGACACCCTCTGCTGTGCGCAGCTGCAGACTAGTGGAGCCTGAATGGGAATCTCAGGGTCCAGCTGAGTCCCGGGGGAAGGTCTGAGTGAATCACAAAGATCTGGGAGAACCAAGTCCCCCGAGGAGTGCTGGGGGCCCCAAGGCCTGTGGGGCATGGGGTGCACTATTTGAAAAAGTTTTCTCGGTCAGACTTGGACCAGAATGCGCCACCCTGAGATGTACCCTCACCAAGTTCTTTGTGGAGGACCCTGTGTCTTCTGCCTCTCCCAGTCTCTGCACTCAGTGCCCATGGGGTGGGAGGAAGGCAGTCACGTGCTGGGATCCTTCCTAGGAGAGTGACTTCTATGTCTGGCCCTTCAGCAAGGGATGGACAACTCAGGGGGCTTTTCTTTGTGTCTCAAGAGCAGGAATAGAGGGAGCTGTCTAGTAGGTGCTTCTGCAATGTGGTCACTTTCTTTTTCACATTCATGTGTCCAAAGGCAAAACGAGTGGATGAGAAGCCCAGCCTGGGAGCCGTGAAGCTGCAGGAGGCCCCCTCAGCCGCCCCCCAGATGAAGAGAACCGGAGCAATCAAGCCTCGGGCAGTCAAAGTGGAGGAGAGTAAAGCCTGAAGGTGCCTGGCCACAGCCTCACCTCACCCTGACGGGGACAGTGCCACCATCCAGCCTGGGCCACCACCACTCGGAACCTCACCGGACCCACCGTCCGAGCACCTGGCCCAGACTGAGAGCTCTGCTCCTGCCCACTCCTCCCACTCCTCCCACTCCTGGAAGCTCATGCAGCCAGCTTGCACTGTGGACGTGTGGCGCCGACCTGCTTGCTTTGACATAAAAGAGCAAAGGCTCCCTCCCTCCTGCCCCTTCTCCCCACTGTGGAGTGAGTCACCTCTGTGCAGTGCAGACCCGCCTGTCCAGTCCCCAGGCAATGGCTGGCGGCTGGGTCTTTCTAGCCAGAGGCTTTTTGTTTTAAAAAGCAGCTAAGGTTTTTACAAAGGGGAAAGGAAAACAAAACGCCAGCTACGTCTGTATAGCTGAACTTTTATACGGTCCTCACTGTCCTCTCTGCCCCTCTGCTGTCCCCAGTGGTCTCCTCTTACCTCTGTCCTGTTTGATGCGTCGCTGCGATACCTTAAGAGATGCCTCTTAAGAATGTGCCCCATGGTCAGCCTTCGGGGTCACTGAGGTACCATTGTTGAGCGCTCCAGTGTCAGCTCCCGCTTTGGCGGTGAGGTGAGTGGGGCAGCAGGTAGGTCAGCATCTCCACTGGGCCCAGCCCCAGGCCGGGAGTCGATGACATTCTAGCTTAAGAATTACATGGCATTTCTGTCTTGGGCTCTTATGAAGCCAGTGGACACAATGACTATTGGGCACCAGAGGTGAACCTTGGTCATCAATGTCGTTGTCCAGATCGGCTGGGATGGCGTGAGCCGATGCTCCGTGGGTCCTGTCTGTGCTGTGCTTCCCAGGCCCCATACCCCCTTGGGCTCTGCTTCCACTCACCATCCCATCCCCCGCCTTCTACAACCTGTCACTTCCCTTTCTCCTTTTGCAGAGCCTGCTGCGCTCTCTGGATCCCAGTCCCTCCACCCACATACAGCGCAAACAGCTCGTCATTAAAGCCACAGGCACATAAGACAGCTGCCCCTTGGGGTCTGCAAAGGCGTGTTTCCTAGATGAGGCTATAAGGATTTTTCCTCTCCCTGTGCTTCAGTCCAGCAGCAGATCCCTGTTGTTAGCATGCAGGAGCCCGAGCTAAGCAGCAGGTGTCAGCGTCACTCATTCTACAGCCTGCCAGCCAGGCAGGGTCAAGGTGAAGGTGGGCTATGGGGCTGGCCATGGTTCTGAAGCAGCCAGGGCAGCCTACCCAAAAGGACAGCATCTTCTGTCTGGAGAGCTGCCCCTCACCAAAGATGTGGGCCCCTGCAATGCTGGGCTTTCTGCTTTCCAATCAGCCCAGACTCCATCATTCCCAGGAAGGTAAAGGGGGTAATTTCAGTTTCTCAAATGCTATGCAGGGTCCCTAACCAGCCATCCACCCGCAGGAGCCACTGCCTGTCCCAGAGTGTGCCACATGTGCAGCTTGGCCCTTGGTGTCCCTGTGGGCGACAGCTGCGGGAGCTGGAGGTACTGCGCTATCTCCAGCAGAGCCTGGCCCCTGCTGTTGTAATTGGGTTCAGCCTTCCCCTGCCAGCAGCGCTCACTGCAAATCATCCTTGGTGGCATCTGGGGAGAGCAGTCACTGCTTCACCTCAAGCCCTTGGCACCTCCCCCCCTTGCCTCCACCCCCAGACCTTACTGGCTGGGCTTGTCTTCATCTTTACTCTTCTGTCCCTTCTCTAATGGCTGCCTGCCTGGAGTCTGCAGCCCTGGCCTGCCCTGTCCTTCATCTGCTCCCAACCCCCCACGTCTCTGGTCACTGTTCCTGTGATGAGTCTTCTGCCCCTGCCCACTGCCTCCACTGCCAAGCCGCCCCTTGATGAGTCTGGGCCAGCCAGAGCACACGCAACCACCTCTGCCTGTCCACCTTACAAATGCCAGACCCGCTCACCTAATGCCAATGTGCATTATGTGTCAAAAGGAACAAAAAATTTCTCATTTCAAAATTCAACAGAACAGTCGTGGATGCTGTTAAAAATGCAAGATGTCCCTTCAGGAGAACCTGCCACAGAATGACAGTACTTCCTGTTTGAGGAAAAGTAGGTCACCCATTCTCAACCTTCTCTCACCCTGTCTCCCTCCTTCCCTGCCTCCCACCCCAAATAAAGACAAGAGACACTAGAATTTATTTATATGTATTGATGTTGTAGGTCTAGGTGAAAAGAAGTAAAATGTTCCACTGCTCTATTTATATATAATGTCTGAATTATTCTGTGCAGGAAAGGCCAGGAAATTGCATGTGAAGTTTGGTGCGTTTGCCACCTCTGTGACCTCAGCTGTGGGCTCTTCCCCCAAGTGCAGATCTTCAATTCAACTCGGGCAGAGGGCAGGCCTCGGCCTCCCCACCTCCCAGCCCCTCTGTGTTCTGATTAAATGCAGTTTTTAGTGCAGCTTTTTAAGGTGCAATATCTTTCTTCCTTTCACGTGGTTTTAGGGCCAATCTCAAGGTAATAGGACTTGGCATCTTATTTTGGTTTCAAACCCCCATTCTCAGATACATACAGAAGTTTCTGCCAGGACATCCTGGCCTTCAGTGGGAACAGGAGAAGGCCAGCACTCCTTTGCTACTGTTGAATTGGCCAAGGGGCAGTGTAAGATCCTCTCACCAGTCAACTCCTGATGCTGGCAGTTTTGGCCAGACCATTGATGGTACAGCCTGTCGCTCGACCTCCAGGGACTTTGTAGTATTGGTTCTCTGCTGACCACTCAGTGAAGTGAAATTCAAGGGTAGGGTGTCTGAAATGCAGTGTCCACCCACTGAGGGCTGGTTTCTTAACTGTTAGCTTCCCGTACATAGTTCACACTGTTTTCAAACTTGGAGTTCACAGAACACTCTGGCTCTAGTTTTCTTAAGGGAGAATAAAGGAAGACTTTATTTCACATTCAGAAAAGGTTGAGTCCAGAGCTCTGGTCATTCCAGCTGCTTCTAGTGATATCTGGGTGACATGTTAAATACTGACGTTCCCTCCAGTCTTCTGATCTGCCTTCCACAGTCAGGGAGGAAGTTTGACACACTCAGCGACCAGGAGGCAGGCATCTGCTCCGGTGCAGTGTCAGCAGCTCTGACAAAGGCCCTCCCCTGAGGACTGCTGGGCCGCCCTCTGCCAAGTGGCTGCCTTTGCCTCAAATCTTTTTTGTCCCTTCTCACTTGCAGGGCAAACCTGGGTTACAGGGTCTGTTGGAAATGACCTCGCCGTGTTCTGTGATGAATGGGAAACGCAGACTTCCAAAAACCCAGCCCTCTGAATGTGAGCTGGACCTGAACAAGAAGGCCATCTGGGCAGGAGTGGCTGGGTGTTGGAGACAGACGCTGTTACACAGCCATGCTCCTCACCCAGCCACCCGCACAGCTGGCTAGTGACTTAGGGCATGAGACCTGCCTTTCACCCTTTCTCCGCCCATTTGGTAGCCTCCAAGATGGCAGCAGCATTCTTAGGACCCTGTGTAAAAGCTCTGTGCAGGCGACCTTCTTCCACTGTTTAAAGGGGATCCTGTACTTTGGACCTCATGCCTTGGGTAGTAAAAAGGATCTGGGGGTTTGCTGCTTTGCTTTTGAGAGGGTTATGTTTTGGTTTTGTTTCCTTTTGCTTTATTTTGGCCTTCCTCTCTCGTCTTTTCGTGTAGACCAGATATTTGAAAGGGCAGACGATGGCTCACGGGTCTGTGCAGCTTGTTTATATGTGGTGTGGGGAAACCATTACTCGGATGGGAAATGGCATCGTGGACTCACCGGGCCGTGCTGGACGCTCACCCTCCCTCCCCTCCAGTTCAGTACCTGTTGTTTCTCCTTTCAAATATGTGATTGTACTAGCTCTTTCCGTATGAAAGACTCTCCTTATTTAAATAAAAAAAGGAAAAAAATAAAGCTGGACATGCTTTCTCAAAAAAAAAAAAAAAAAAAAGAAATTTAATTTGAGACATTTTTGCCCTTCTTTTTTGCCCTCTCCTTTGAATTTTGGGGTCTAAAGGCTGACTGAGCCTCCAGGTTATCCTTTGCTTCTTTTCTTCCTTGGTGGGAAGGAATCTTATACACAGAGGATTGAGTTAATCATTCTCCTGACTTATGGCCTTTCCATGTAAGGCTTTTTTTTTTTTTTGTCAGTACTGGGAGTTGAACCCAGGGCCTGGTACATACTAGGCAAGTGCTCTACCACTGAGCTATACCCCCAGCCCTATTTAAGGCCTCTCTTATATAAGAACTTTATTCCCTTTTATCTTATTGAGCCATCCATCCAAATCACGCCCACCATAGACAATCATCAGATATTTTTAATATGTATTTATTTATTTGTTTGGTATAGGGGATTGAACCAAAGGGTACTAAACCAGTGAGCCACATCTCCAGCCCTTTTTATTTTTATTTTGAGACAGGGTCTTACTAAGTTGCTGAGCCTGGCCTTGAACTTCCTCCTGCTTCAGCCTTCTTTTTTTAATATTCATTTTTTAGTTGTATGTGGACACATACCTTTATTTTATTTTTATGTGGTGCTGAGGATCAAAGCCAGTGCCTCACACATGTTAGGTGAGCACTCTACTTCTGAGCCCCAGCCCCAGCCCTGCTTCAGCCTTTTGAGTAGCTGGAATTACAGATGTGTGCTGCCTCACCCAGCATCCAATGTACCCAAAATGTCATCATTTTAACATGTAATCAATGTAAAAATTACTAATGAAATTGATTAAATTCCTTGTTGTACTAAATCTTCAAAATCCAGGGAGCACTTTACTCAGTATAATATCTCAATTTGGATTCTAAATTTTCATCAGAAGTACTTAATCTGTAGTTAGATTTCATAAAATTCACTGTTGAAAAACTAGATTCACATACCTAAGTTTTCTCAAGCATACTTAAAAGTTTTCCAGTAACTGCATCAAGTACCAAAATAATTATTTTCCTTTCATATTTACATACAAATTGACAAACCAGCTTCATATATTTTAGAAAAATTGACTTGACTTTGAAGCAAAAGCATATCAGTTTCAAAATGCATCTGTCCAATTAAAGTCACTAACTCTTATGATATTTTCCTTGTTTTCCTATGTTTACTAGATAGCTAGTAATATACAGTCTGTAATTAAGGAAGTTGTATCTTTGAGTTAGTTGTGCTTCTCACCTGTCTTGTTGTGCTGTCCTTGGGCATATAGGTTGCTTTGGCCAACAGTGTGTACCTGTGTCATTGAGCTCAGGGGGTCCTGGTAAGGGGGTAAGGATGGTAATTTAACCCTAAAACCGAGAGCCCTAGGCACAGAGACTCCTAAATAATCAGATCCAACCCTACAAAATAACTCTTTGTGTTAGGAATTCACCTCCACCCTCCCCAGGGAGAAGTAGCCTGAAGAGGAAGACCTTCTTGAATTCTCCTGCCCTGGAAGTTTAGAGGGGCTGAGGAGGGGAAATATCTGTCCAAGGTTAGGCTGCCTCCCTCCTACCTGTTTCTATCAACTCCTTGCAAGTGCAGTGCATTTTCATGCCTTGATGTTATTACCTTATTGACACCTGGACCACAGTTTTGAGTCATACTGGTAAGCAGGTGGCACTGTTTGTTCCAAGATGGTAGTAGAGGAAAAGAAGGACCAGAGTCCCAATAATTCCTTTTTTTTTTTTTTTTTTTTAAATCTTTGCAAAGCTACTCCTGGCCACTTCCTACCCCAAACTGAAGCTACTCCTCTATCACATACACCCTGGTTTAGAGGCCCTCCCTTTTACCCAAGAGGTTCTTCACTATTTTCCTAATTTCTTGGCATTTTCTCTTTGTAATTTTTCTGTTTGATCTTGGGAGAGGGAGTGGCAGGCATGTTAATCACTTGTTTAATCCTTGGGACCACTCTATGAAGTTATATTAGCAGTCTCATTTCACAGATGAGAATACAGGCTTGAAGAAGTTAACTAGCTTGCCTGTGTTACTGAGTCAGGACTTCGATCCAGGCAGTCTGGCTCCTGAGTGGGCCCTCTTAACCTCTGCCTCGCAGGAAAACCCAAATTATCCAGTGTCCTGTGTGGGGATGCATTAATGGAGAGTTGATCAAGGCATTGTCTGGCAATGTGCAGGCTTAAGAGAACTGAGGAGAAGAGAGGGAAAATGACAAGGGCAAGGCATTAGCAGCCAGGCCTGCTGTCAGCAGCATTTGATCCTGGGCAGGAGACTGACGGATGGCTCTCAGGGCAGGACAGGCCCTGTGTGGCTAGAAGTGAAGGGAGGAGGGGTGAGCATCTGCGAGCCCAGCCCACGCAAGGACTGATGTCAGTGCTCTGTGCGTTGGTCTCCAAATTTGACATCTGATATAAACTTGTTGGTGTGAAATTCTATCCTGCATTTTCAGTCCACTGGATTTGAAGTTCTTCCAGGGCAGCAGTTGGGCCGGAACGACTGGCCCAGGCACCACTAGATGCTTCCCAGAGGTGGTTGTCAGGCTGCCAGTGTGCACTGCTATACTTGTCTCTTCACACTTCTGCATCTCCTTCTTTCCTTTTCTCTGATTGGCCAACATGCACTGGGGGTAAGTCTCGGTTGTAGACACTGTGAAGGAGACTCTAGAAGGATGAGACTTGAAGGTCAAAGTCAGCAACCAGGAAATAGATGAGGAGCACAGGAAGGTAAAACCTCTGACTCCAGTTACTGGACTCTAATGAGTTTCAGTAAAAACAAGGCCAGTGTCTGTCTGGTGTATGCTCTAGATGTACAGCTCTTGCCTTAAAACCACTGTTTCCTAGTTGCTTCTGAAATGCCAGGCACTTTTTTTTTTTTCCTTCTGGGGTTGCTAAAATAGAATCAGAAACGGATTTGAAGAGCCTCTCCTTCCCCGTTGTGGCGCCTGTGGTCCGAGGTTTCAGGCAGACAGGCTCCTCCTTTGAGTGTCCACTGACAAGGCAGGCTGCCTGGCCCTAGGGACATGCCACATGCTTTCTGGGCCACAAATATTTCACACCCTAGGTTCCTAGCTGCCTCCCAGCCCCCTCTCCCTTTCCTTTCTACCCTTCCCTCAATCCTAAATCCACACTTTACAATCCCTTGGCCACTGTCACCTTACTTTGTCTCTCCTTCATGTGGACCCCTCTCCTGGAGTTCCTTCAGGGAAATCTAAGCAGCCTGTTCGCGTATGGCTTTAAATGCCTGGGAAAGCAAAGAAAAATGAACTTGTATGCTTGTTTTCTTGTGCTAGGGGTTGTTTGCAGAGCCTCATGTTATTTCTCATAAATCTCATAACTTGAGAAGGAGATGTTTACTTAAAGGTCATGAGGATTCTTAGCCCGAGATTAGGAAGTAGTAAATCCAGGCTTCAGGGGAACTGTCTGCCTCCAAAGTCCACACTCTCTGTCTTGGGGTGCCCCTGGAGCCCAGTTCAGTATTCCCACCTCATAGTGCTATTTCCATGGAGACTTAATATTTTGCTT